GCATCCACTAAATGCGTTAACCTTTTCCATCACGCTCAAACTAGAGTAATTGCTTTCAACAAGACAAAAAGGCAATCTTGCTTGCTTGATTCTGACAGACCTACTTTGCCAGGTGCTAGCAATTTGGTATGTGCACCTTTTCTTACTAGTTGCTCCCCTTCTTGTAGGCCAATTTATGTGTCCCAGGAGTTTGTATTTATATAATTCCCCATGTCTGGCCATGTCTTTGACTAGGGAGGTGCTACTGGCCGCATTGTTGGTAATTTTTCAATACTGGCTGCTTATCAATGTCAGTGGGTAAACCACTAACTTATGCCCAGTCTGACTTGGGAGAGTCAAATTCGGCAGCAGTCTTTGAAATCCTTTTCTCTTTGATTTGTATAAATAGCTTGGCAGTGGCTGCGGGTCACTGATTCACACTTTGCCCAAAGTGTGATTGAGTGTGTCCATCAGCGATCCATTTTAGTATGATCGTACAATGGCTTTCTAGTTCTAAGCATCACGGCGTAAACAATGCTTTGGGCAGAAACTCAACATGTGCCAGTCTGGGCAGGTAAAACCATCTCTATTCAACAAACAGAGATGCTAGAACCCAGAGTGACAATGGGCACGTAACATGTCATTCAACAAGTATAATGGCCTCCCTAGGTTTCCCTGACTCTAAGACCCAGACCTTTCCTTTTTCAGTAAATTACAAGGCCTATTCATTCTGTTCAGTCCAGGACTGAGTTAATGGAACTATCATGCCTTAGGGCATGACAATGAACAGGATTCGACAAATTTAGATAAGTATTTCTTGATTCTAGACCAGCTTGATGAGGACAGGGCTCCTGGCATGAACTTTAAAAGGTGGAGACCCTTTCTACATGAGAGTTGAGTGGTGTGGGAAATCCTTATGTATATGTGTTGTTTTTGTTGGTTAATGAATAAAGCTGTTTTGGCCAGTGCCTTAGAAGAGTGGAGCTAGGTGGGAAAACTAAATTGAATGCTGGGAGAAAGAAGGTGGAGTCAGGGAGAAGCCATGGAGCTGCCAGAGGAAAAAGACGTGAGTTGTTAGCTGGAACCTTGCCGGTAGGCCACAAACCTCATAGTATAATATAAAATCATAGAAATGGGTTAATTTAAGATGTAAGAGCTTGCTTGGAATACGCTAGAGTCATTGGCAAACCAATGTTGTAATTATTGTAGACCTCTGTGTGTTTGGGACTGAATGGGCTGCAAGACTGGGAGGGACAGAAACCTCTGTCGAGAGCTGAGAGGATGAGGGGATAAGGGAATGAGGACAAATACAATAAAAGTTTGCACCTCTGAGCCACTGCCTTGAAGAGGAGTGATGTACAATGTGGGGACTTTTAGGAAGGGTTCAGGAAACTCTCTTCACTTGGGGTGGGAAGCTCTTAAAAGTTATCCAAGTAAATTACCGAGCTTCTTCGGTTGGCAAGCTTATGGAAATGACATCTCCTCCAGCAATTTGACTATTAGAGCACAAAATGCTTAATTAAATAGAAATATTGAATTGAATTCACCTCTGTTGATATGCAAAGAGGGTTTATTCCCTTGAATTTATTAAATCACTAGTTAGATGGGGATTCAATTAAAAGCTAATGTTAAATTCTTGAAAGGGATAAGCTCAGTCGTAAGAAAATGTAACCTGTAAGTTGAGTGTCTGTATATTACAGGCTTCCACACTAAGGGAAAGAACATTCTTATTCTGTATGCATTGAAGATCTTTTCAAACAAGGTCATAGAGTCTAATTTTTAAGATTTCTAAACTGTCATGTCTTGGTATAGTCATCCATTTGTTTATTTAGCAAATGTTTGCAACTTCCTGCTGAGTGTTCCCAGGTCCCATGCTCTTTATGGACAGAAGACAAGGGTGGCTCTTCCTTGCCCTCACTGAGCAGGAGAAAGCAGAAAGTCAAAGGGGGTTATAAAGCTGCTTGTTTATCTGCTCCAGCTGAGCTGTATTAGAGGCGAGGCATGCAGAGGGAAGAGCGTCAGAGGCCTGCATAGTGCAGAGTTCTGGTGCTGAGCAGAGCGTGGTGAAATCATTGCAGCAGTTACAATATTTACAGTGGCATTACCAATGACAGTCACGTACAGCTCAATGTGCATTCTGCTCTGAATTTTGAATATAGTAAGAGAGAATGGTGAAGTAAGATGGAGACAGCAGACAGAAGGCATAATGTCAAGGGCTAACACTTGCAGGCTCACAAACGTACTTTCGAGATAACGAGGAGACAAACAAAAGCTGGAGATGCACATAACCGTTGCTTGTCTGTCTGCCATTCTGTCTGTCTTTCTTTTTCTTTTAGCACAGTTTACTGGTTTCTGTAGTTGATAAAAAACAAAAGGTAACATTAAGGAATCACACTGGGGATGAGAACCAAAGACTTCCAGGACTTCCCACCGCTCATCCCCACCTTGTCTCAGAATGCCATCCCTAGCCTCTCTTACTTCAGACAGCCTTTCCCATCTGGTCAAAGATCTGAGGAGCTGATTTCTCAGTCTCTGTATTTCAGTTCTAGAAAAGGAGTCCAGCTGACCTTGCTTATATTAATAACTTTTGGCAGTGATGTGAAAGAATCTGAGATAGACGGAATATTGAAAACCCCCTTCTGGGTTTGGAGAGGTGACTCGATGGCTCAGAGAGCATACTGCTTTTGCAGAGGACCAGAGTGGACCAGAGTGAAGTTCCCAGCACCCACATTGTAGCTTAAAACTGCCTTTAACTTCAGTCCATAGAATCTATCACACTAGAAATTGCTCTGGTTTTCACAGGTGTGCATGTGCACATGTGTGCACGTGTGCACTCATGCCTGCACACACACACACACACACACACACACACACACACACACACCTTATAATGAATAATCCTCTTATTCATCAGAGGATGGATCAGAGGTGGAACAGTGATGAGTCCTCAACTGGGGCAGTGACTGAAGGGAAGGCGAGGCTGGCTGAAGTTTCAGGAAGGAATATATGTAACTTGGCTTTACTTGAAAAGTTGAGCAAGGGAAGGTCACAGAGGTGCTGGGCATGTGAGAGACAGATTTAGTTTCCTATTAGCTCAGCTGGGTGGTGGTGATCTTATTTCTTTAGGCATGAGGAAAATAAGTTCACTATTTAAAAATGAAAGGTTCAACTTTTCTTTCTAGTTTGCTGGGTTGATGTTTTAAACATGTTTTCCTGATTTTCTCAAAGGCTATAATTTCCCCATTTAACATGGAAACTCATATTTAAATTAAAACGTCATTTTTATTATTTGAAGTGGGTGCTATCTTACTAATACATGTGTGTGTATTTATTGGCAGGATAGCTGTTGTATCAACTTTCCAAGAATAGTCTAAGAATGATAGTTAGTAGAAACTGAAGAAAGGTAATAGCAGAGCTACAACAAAATGGTCACTTAAACAAGACCTGAGCAATTACAGTCCTAGTCGATATGTCAGTCTGGATGAGGGAATCACACATGATCCAACTCCTAGAGAACTACTGGTGGTTAGTAGCTGTTGAGAGAGGGAGAATCAGTTTTCTCCAGGGATGAGTCCCTTGATATTCTAGTCAATGCTAAGTGTTCAGCCCCAAGCACATATACATGCAAACAGAACTAAGCAGACTCAGCAGATTGTATATATATTCATATCTATGTAGCAATAATTGAAGAAGACATCACAAATGTGAGAGGAAGTGGGGGATCATTGGAGGGATTGGTTTTTTGGGGGTGCTCCATGGGATCTCTTTGGCCAGTGACTCAGCCAGATGGAGCCCATTTATGTATGCACTTTATCTTTTTTTTTTGAAATGAGGTTTTTTTTTGGTTATTTGAGAAAAGGTTTCTCTGTGTAGCCTTGGAGCCTGTCCTGACACTCACTCTGTAGACCAGGGTGGCCTTGAACTTAGAGATATCCACCTGCCTCTGCCACTCAAGTGATGGGGATTAAAGGTGTGCACCTCCACTGCCCGGCTACGGCACTTCATCTTTTACCTGGTGACATAAGATGTCTAGTGAGGACACTGTCTGACCTATCACATGGTGACTCCACTAGGATTCCTTTCGTATATGTATGTATCCTATGACCATTTTTTCAATAGTATATTTCCTATGGATTTTCAAGTGGCCTTTAGTGTTAGTGTCCTTCCCCATATTCCTTTGTTTGCCCCTTTTCTCCCATTATCTGCCCTATTTAATTCTCCTGTGTAGTTTCCTCCTTGTATTTCCATAGAAATATTTTCTATTTCTCCTTGAGTTCCTCTATTCTCTTTCCTGGTCCTTTACTGTGCACCCAATTAACTTCCGTGGTTATTCAGATTCTAGCACACATATTGAAGGTTTCAAAGCTAACATCTACAAATAAAAGAAAACACATGTTATTTATCGTTTGGGGTCAGATTGCTTTTTTCTCTAGTGTCATCAGTTTCCCTGTACATTTCACAAAAGCTGAGTAATGTTCCGTTATATAAATACACCACATTTTCCTTATCAGACACCTGGGATATTTCTAATTTCTGACTATTATGAATAGAGTAACAATGAACATGACTGGACAAGTGTCTCTGTAGTTGGATGTAGAGCTCTTTGGGTATATCCCCAAAAGTGGTAGAGCTGGGTCTTGAGGTAGATCAAGTCTCAGGTTCCTGAGAAATTGCTACCCTGATTACCACAGTGGTGCAAGTTTGCACGCCTACCAGCAATGAACACGTTTTCTCCTTCCTCACATCCCTGCCAGCATGAGCTGTTATTTGTTATATTGATCTTGGCCATTCTGACTGGTGCAGGATGAAATCTCAAAGTAGATTTAATTTGCATTTCCCTGATGGCTAAGGACATTGAACATTTCTCTAAGTATTTCTCAGCCATTTGTGCTTCATCTTTTGAGAACTCTCTGTACCCCAGTTTTAAACGGGGGACAGTAAGAATAGTGAAAATTGCTTGCCTGTATCCAGTGTGGTCACTGGGGGTTCCTGACATAAAGTTGGTTTTTTTTTTTTTCCAGACTGGCAGCTGACACAAAGGAGTGGAGATGGGCTGGAAGGAAACTCTGAAAGGGTAAGTGGGAAAGAACTAAGCTTAATCTGTGCCAAAAGATGTAGTGGTTTCTGATCTTTAATATTGTTCTATGAAGTATTGTTCTTTTTTTTTTTTTTGAGATGAAAATTCTAGGCTCAGAGATGCTAAATGACCTGCTTCAGAACATACTGACAAATGGAAAATCTGAGCTTCAAATTAGTTTTCGTTGTATCAGATTCTAAAACCTTTGCTAGCTGATTTCTTCCCCTGACACGTGGCTGGGGAATCTGCTTGTGGCCTTGATGTTCCTACATGACAGTCTGTGTGTCAGGGGATGTGCTTGACTTCTTCTGGGCACCCTGTCCCTGTGTCCTTACAGAACTAAGAGTGAGGGCATCTATGCACATTTAGCTTCCATTCTGGGTCTAATTAAATTTTACTCAGCTATTTTAGCATTAAGTTCTTCGTACTGTTTCTCAGTAACTCAGGAACCATGGAGAGTAGCCTCGCTAGGCTGCCTCTGACCCATCTCCTGATGGGTCCATTAATCTCCCAGGCTCTGTGGGAGGCTGGGACTGCCCCAGACTACAATTTTTAAGAGACAGTAAAGAAAGTGAGAAGGATGTGACTAGACTTTAAATTTCAGCGTGTTGCTCAGGACAGGAGGAAAACCCAAAGGGTAGTTTTATCCAGTTTCTTGATTTGATGTACACAGTGAAGACTCACTGTGACGTGGCCGTTCATAAGATGTGAGTGAGTGCTCATTGCCAAAGACAGGAGAAACTCTAGGGCAAGGGAGGAAAGGAGCCAGAGTGTGGTGCATGTGCTTGCATGTATGCTTTAGATTCTTATGAATAATTCAAGTTACACCCAACTGGGTTTATGATTGTACAACACCTAGTAGACTGTTATTTTAATTATCAACACCAAATATTAAAAACAAAGTGACTAACCACCAGGATTTCACCTATTACTTTTACTGGTAAGTTTTTTTTTTAATTGTAAGAATAAGCTGTCATCTGATCCCCCGTCTGCATTTTATAGGGCTCTGAATCCATTTATACACCATTATTTCAAAGGTAATAAAGATCACAATATTTGAGGCAGGCCTCTCTATTTTGGTGATCATGGTTTTGAGGTGCCTCCCTTCCTTCTCTGAGCTAAGTCCTACTTCATTCTTCAGGGAGTTTTCTACTTCTGGGTGCCAACTTCCTAATGGTCAGCACACTTGTAGTTCTTTTGTTAAGTGTTTGCCTGTTCAGACTGTAAGAATGCTGCTGTCAAGAGAGTCTTGTACAAGTTTAGCAAATGTCGCACAAAGCAACAGGCTGTAATCTTTGTTTTATGTCAGCGGAGTCACAGATGTCTTCTGAGCTCGCTGCAAAATGAGAAATGGGTCATAGTGAACTTGCATGTCCTCTATCTTTTAGGCAGCACTCACGCCTCTCCCACAGTGAGCTTGGCTCCTGTTGAGAATTTATATCAGTCCTTATTGCAGGAAGAAGGTACACACCACCGCATGGTCTGCACGCCCGGCATTCAGCTTGTGATTTCAGGGTTAGAATTTTCTTATCTGCTTCCACCATTGCACTTTAACTAGTAAGGGTTAGGGATAAAGTGTCTTATTTCCTGCCTAGCACATTTCCCAAAACCCACTTAAAATTAAAATTGCTAATATTTATGTGAGTGCTGACTATGTGGTGTATGCACTAAATATTTTACATACAACTTGGTATTGCATTGGCATCATATAAGACTGGTACTGTTTGCATATCCATTTTCAAGACTGAGGGTAATGAGAATTTTATGTGCCTGCTAAAGACCATACACATAAGACTGTTGTGTGGCTATTTCTTCTAAATGAAAACATCCGCTTCTTGAGGGAGGAGGAATGCTCATAAGACTCAGTGAGCTAAGGAAACTTGCAGAGCCTGGGAAGCTTAGAAAACAACCAAACTCACAAGGCTCATATAAAACAGACAATGACTAGGGATGGGACAGAAACTCCGATGGAGTTGCCTGGGAATTGGGCAGGGAGCTCCAGGAATGAACCTTTTGGGAGTTGTCACCCACACTGGGATTGGCTTTGGTGGTATGGCTGCCTTGAGTCACCCGTGGTCCTGTAAGTGACCCCTCACTTCAGTTTTGTAAGTGGTCTCAGTAATCTTGTTGGTTCACGTTTCTGGACTTAGGTGGAAGTACTTCTTTGGTCTGTCATTGGTGAATCTGTTTGAGTATAGGTTTGTTCTTGTCTCCCCAGGAAAAGTCACGTGATGGAGCCCATAGGTAATAAGGCAGCGGTTCATACTCAGGGGACAGAGCCACAATACTGTGCTTTATATTCAATACTCCTCTTAATGAATATTTTGGTATCAATTCAATTTGGGATCAACAAGCCTTATTAGAGGCCCCACTAGAAAGAGACAAGTCACTTTCCACAAGGAGTGGGATAGGCTCAGACTCAACTGGACAGATAATGAGGGGCCATGTCTCAGAATGTGGGTGTCTGGAAGGAGGAGGAGAGACACCAACTCTTCATTAACACAGGAGTTCAAAATCCAAAGGGGGCTCCCTTTTATGCGCGAGCAGTGAGCACCCAGTCAGTGTTGTTGTTGGTGATAAGTCCTAGGTTACATGAAGCCAATTCATGAGTGTGCTTGAGAGAAACAATGTTAAGAAAAATAGCTGGGCTGAACACAATGCCTGGCACATGTATCCGAAGCAAACTGTGTCTTCATGCCGATGAGGACCCTGGTGTATATGCCTACGTATTCTCTCGGCACTGAAGACTTACAGGAGCCCTTCAGAAAATCTAGTTTTGTCTTGCCAGGTTGGGAGGAAGGAAAGTTAGTACTAAACAGTCTCACAAAAAGAAATATCTGATCCCCAGAGAAGGAGCAGTGCCGCCTGGCTTGGCGCTGAGTCCTTCCCATACCGCTCAGGGCTACTTCTGTGCAGAAGTCACGTCTGTTTCCATTTCTCTCATCCATTAACTCACACGAGGTGCTCCATGGCTAATTGAATTCACTAGGAGTCTGCCTTCTCTGATTAGGTGTCCTGCAGCCTGAGTGGGGAGGAGGAGGAGAGCAGGCAGCGAGGCAAACATCTTGGTGAATGCGATCCAATCTGCTGCTAAATTTAATCTGTACATTTCTGGTTTCTATTCTCATGCACCACCTGCAAGGCTATGTTTAAAATGTTCCTGACATATCAACGAAATAGGCTGCCTGGCAAGACCAAGGCTGCCCATTTCCTTTTCATTTTATATTGATTCATGTCCATAACAGGCTATAACTTACCTCCTTCTGTCTATATCTGCCTTTCTCCATTATGCAAACAGACAAAGTTGCAACATCTGGGCCCAATTGCAGCCTCTGAAAAAGATTCAGCCATATCAGGTATCCCCCAAATTTTCTTGATCTGGAAGAAAATATGTCACCTCTGGCAACTCTCAATTTTGTAACTGTAGTTTTATATTAAACATGAATTTGCCTAAATTTTACATGCTAAAAATTTTTTACAAAATTTACATCATAAGTTACAGTTCAAAGATTTCTAGATGCATAATCAAGTACATACAAATTTGCTTGTAAGAATTTATTTTGTATTAAGTGACAAATGTATTTTCATTGTCAGTCCTCATATCTCTCTTAAATATTTTTAAATTAAGCTTATTTATTCATTTTACATCCCAGTTACAGTTTCCCCTACTTCTTCTCCTTCCATTCCCTGCTCCTACTTCTCCTCTGCCCCCTGCCACCTAATCCACTTCTCTCCTGTTTCTGTTCAGAAGGTGCAGGCCTCCTATAGATATCAACAAAACAAAGCATACCAAGTGTCAGTAGAACTAAACACCTCCTCTCCTTTTAACGCTGGGTAAAGCAACCCAGTACGAGGAATAGGCTCCCAAAAGCCAGCCAAAGCACTAGGGACAGCCCCTGATCCCACCTTTAGGAGTCCCACAAGTAGATCAAACCACACAACTTTTACAAACATATATGTAGAGGGCCTAGGACAGTCTCCTGCAGGTTCCCTGGTTGTCGGTTCAGACTGTGAGCTTGTATGAGCCCAAGCTGGTTGATTCTGTGGGTTTTGTGATGCCCTTGATTCCTCTGGCTCATACTATCCTTCCTCCTTCTCTTCAGCAAGATTCCCCAAGTTCAGCCTAATGTTTGGCTGTGGGTCTCGGCATCTGTTTCCACCAGTTACAGGATGAAGCCTCTCTGATGACAATTGTGGTAGGCACTAATCTACGAGTATAGCAGGATATCATTAGGCATTATTATGTTGCCATCCCCCTGAGTAATGTTTGGTTCTATCCTAGGTCGCTGGGCCATCCAGCCTCTGGCTCTTGGCACTTCAGGCAGTGTTCAGGGTGAACTCTCTCTCCTGGTATGGATCTCAGGCTGGACCAGTCATTAGTTGGCCACTTCCACAACCTCTGTGCCACCCTTACCCCAATACATCCCATAGGCAGGACAAATATTGTGTGTCTCGGTTGGTGTCCCAATCCCTCTACTGGTAGTCTTGCCTGGTCATAGGAGATGGCCAGTTCAGGCTACATATCGGCTACTGCTAGGAGTCTTAGTTGGGTCATTCTTGTAGACTCCTGGTAGTTTTCCTTGTTCAGGTTTTTACCTGACCCTGAAATGCTCCCCCTTTCCAGTCATCTCTTTCAGTACTCTTCTCCTCCATCCATCCCCCACAACCTGTTCCCTCAGGTTCTCATACCCACACACTCCCAGCCAACCACAAGATCTCATCTTTCTCCCCTTCCCAGGGAGGTCCGAGTGTCCCCTCGAGCCCTCCTTATCTAGTCTCTCTGGGTCTGTAGGTTATAGTATGATTACCCTTTACTTCTCAGCTAATATCCACTTACGAGTGAGTACATTTCATGTTTGTTTTTCTGGCTCTGTCTTACTTCACTCAGGATGACTTTTTTTCCTAGTTCCATCGATTTGTATTCAAATTTCCTGATGTTATTGTTTTTAACAGCTGAATGATACTACATTGAATAAATGCACTACATTTTCTTTATC